AGGGGGAGGTGGGGGGAGGGAGGAGTCATGAGCAGGAGGGGGAGGAGGAGGAGGAGGAGGAGGATGAGGAGGAACATGAGGAAGAGGAGGAGGAGGAAAGTGGAGGGGAGGGGGAAGAGGAGGAGGAGGAGGAGGAGGAGGAGGAGGAGGAGGAGGAGGAGGAGGAGCTCTCGCCCATTCAGCTCATCTGCTGAATCCTTGGGAACCTGGGGGTATCGACTGTTTGCGATGAAAACCTCGGCTTTGCATAGCTCATTAGTGCCCCGTTGGACGACAACCGTCGGAGAGTCTTCAGCGTGCCAACACACAACCGTGTGGATTTCGACGCCGTGAATCAACTTCGCTACTGCGTCCTGGCGATCGTGAACCGTGCTGGAACTCCATTCCTGGGACTTCAACCTTGCGCTTCATCGTGATTGTTTCGCCTTGACTATCTTAAGTCGTGCTGGAGCAACGTTCCTGGGACCTCAGACATCATAAGATGCGGTAAGAGGTTGTAAGCTCTTATGAAGAACATGCGCGATGCTAAAGGCGAAAACCCAGGACACTCGTTCAACTTTCCAAGGCGATTGTGCGCGGCGCTAAATGCGAGAGCCGCATTTTGATGATGAGCCGCCCTTCATCCGCCAAGCTCTTGCAAACATGTAAGAGGAATGTGCGTGGCACCAACGCGATACTCACATCTTGAAGAAAGGATTAGTCCATTCACGAGGCGGGAACCACAGTTGGAACATGAACGGCCCTCCATCCGTGAGGCTCTTGCGCTATTTGAAGACGAATGTGCGCGGCGCTCAGGCGAGCGCCAGATTTTTGGAAACCAGCCGCCTTCCATCCGTCAAGCCCTTGCAAGTTTTCACGACGAATGTGCGCGGCTCTGAGGCGAGAGACACACTCCGGAAACCACACCTTCCATCCATGAGGCTCTCGCAGACTCTTGAAGACGATTCTGAGCGACGCTAAAGCGAACACTCCATGTTGGAAACCGCCCGCCTTCCATCGGTGAAGCTCTTGCGTTTTTTTCTTCGCGAATGTGCGAGGTGCTACGGCGGGGGCCACATTTTGAAAAAGAGCCGCCCTCCACCCGTGACGCTCTTTCAACCTTTGTACAACGACTGTGGGCGGCGCTGAGGCGAGAGCCGCATCTTGAAAACCACCCGCTCTCCATCCGTGAAGTTCTTGCAATATGTATGGCGAACGTGCGCGGAGCTAATTCGAACGCCACATGTACACTGCCACCCGCCTTTCATCCTTGAAGCTCTTACAAGTTGCAGGCCAACGAATAGCGTCGCTAATGAGAGCGGGGCATTTCTTTGGGGAGAAAACGCCATCCATATTTTCATATGTTGCCAGTTGTGAGTTTCAGCATCGTACATGGTGAGGAGGTCTCAGGCGCAACGCTCGGCCCGCTCTACGGACACGTCTCGGGGTTCGACGGGGAGCACTTGTTTATGAGGGGAAGGAATGAAGGGAGAGGAGGAGGAGAAGGAGGAGGAGGAGGAGGAGCAGGAGCAGGAGCAGCAGCAGCAGTAGGATGAGGAGGAGGAGGAGGAGGAGGAGGAGGAGGAGGAGGAGGAGGAGGAGGAGGAGGAGGATGCGGAGTCGAGGGCATGGGGAGGGGGATGCAACGGCAAGCGAGGGGAAGGGACTCGAGGACAATGAGGGGGTGGGGGAGGGAATGGGAGGGGAACGAGGGATGGAGAGGAGCAGAGGGGATGGGAGTGAGGGGGATGTACGGATGGAGGGGGGGGGGAGAAGAGGATACGCGTTTTCTTTCAGTTGTGCCCAGGGTCTCTCCCAAGCCTCTTCTGCGGAGGTACGCATGCCCTCGGGCGTGGAGTGCGCGCACATCGTGAGGTACGGCCGCGTGAGCTCTCTGCAGGTACCCTGATACCAGCGGGACGAGACTCAGACGACGATGATGACAAGTACGGTGATCACGGTGATGTGGCATGGTGGTGATGATCACATTGGCGGAGGAAGAGGTTGGTTCCGCTGGTGCCGATGACGACTGACGTTTAAAATGGGGGAGGATGAGGAGCACACGGATGCCGAGGACGAGGACGGGTGATATAGTTTTGCGATGATCAGGGAGAGCATGATGGCGAGGGCGAAAGTGAGTCTTACGATTATGGTAATGGTGTTGCTGATGATACTGTTGCTGCTGCTGATGATGCTGATGATGCTGCTGTTGATGATGCTGTAGCTGCTGATGATGATGCTGATGATGGTGATGATGATGCTGATGATGCCGATGCTGCTGCTGCCGATAACGACGACGAGGAGGATGATGAGAAGGAGAACACGTGCAGGAGCAGCATCAGGCGATGATGAAGCTCCACGTCCGCTCGCCCTCCTTCACTTCAGACGGTGTGTGCAGGTCCGCTCAATGCAGGAGGAGGGTTGTTCGACAAATCGGTACAGGGTAAGGTTCGCAGGTTCGATCTGTCTCGATTCCACTGCCGTTCTTCCCTGCACGCGCGGGTTGACCCCGCAGCGGGGCGCTAATCGAGACGCACGATCGTTACAGTTGGAGTCTGGCATCTCTTCCTCCGCCTCTGTCTCCACGTCTGCCTCCTTCTTCGCGTTCTCCCCCCTCCTCGTCCTCCTCCACCTCCTCCTCTTCGCACCTCCTATCCTCCTGCCCTTTCCTCCTCATTCTGTATCCCCTCCCTCCTCGCCCTCGCACTCGCCCGAGTTCTGGTTGTTAGTTTCGTCCTCGTTCTCAGTTCTCGTCGTCGTCGTCCTCCTTTTCTTCACCCTCCTCCTCCTCCTCCTCCTTCTTTTTTCGACTCGTCGTCCTCCGTGTTAATAGTTCCTTCGTTCGTTCTCCTTCCTCCAACTTCCTTCCTCTGTCCTTCCCTATCCTTACTCCCTCACGTTGCTTCTTTCATTGTCTCCAGATGAGCAATGCTGGCAAGAACCTGATCGTGCTGGACAGGCTGGCTGGGGGGTTCGGCAACCTCCTCTGTTGCGGCTCTCTTGACCCTCCCCCGCCGTCGTCCCCTCCTCATCGGTCGAACCCCTCCTGTCTCGGGGGAGGGGGAACGATGAATTGGAGGGGAGGGGGAGGCGGCGGAGGAGGAAAGAGAGGATGCGGAGGATGATGATGAGGAGGAGGGGGAGGAGGAGGAGTAGTCAATGCACCCTTTCCGCACCCCCTTTCTTAGCCCTTTCTGCTCCTTTGCCTTGCGCGCACTGCCCGATGTACTGACTGCTTCTGCTTCCGCAGCTATGCCGCTTTGGCTCTAGGGAAACGGATAAGGAGCGAGCCTGCGGCGCGCGCGCGTGCGTCGGCCGGCGGGCCGGCCTCCTCCCGTCAGTGTTACCCCAGTGTATGCTTGACGGCAGTGTTCCTTCTTCCACATGTCATCGGCGGAGCCCACTGACCATGATATATGATCGGGACATTTTGCAGGGATTATGAATATCCAGGCAAAAGACTGGTTATCAGCCGAGACGACGGCACAGCCGTTAGCTTCGCAGAGCATGGGATCACTAGAAGGAGCGCTCGGACGAACAGAAGATCATTACCCGTCCGTGCGTAACGAAAGTGTAGGCGCCTCCATGAGGCGACCGAATTCTCTCAACCTTCCCAGAGAGCAAGCATCAGAGATTCGGTTTGAATTTACAGAGGGGGACTCCTCGGTTGACTCGGCAACGAGGTCCAGAGCACAAACCTCGGGCGGACGGTATGGCGCTGCCAAATCTCCCGTTGAACGACCGTCTGAGTTCGTGTCGGTACATCCGGGCTTTCAGCCATCGACCGGCCTAGATGTCGAGATGGAGAAGTTGTTGGATCACGTTCCCATAAGAATGTCGGGCGCCGAGAACCTTGGCGCATGACGTGCAACGCAGTTCGTGTAGCATGGTCAGAGCGAGGACGTGAGTGATTTGCAGTCGGAAAGGGGACAGGACTCATTCGATTGAGAAGAACGAAGAATGTGTTCGATTCCACACCTCACTTGGTCCATCGTATCATCTCGACCCTCTCCCCGATAGATGTGTCGAGTTCGCCTCAGGCGCAGCTCCGTTAGTGAACGAAACAGCTGACCACGTAGCGGGCGAGGCAATGCAGAAACCAATTCTTGATTCGGATGATGATTTCGAACAAGAAGGAAGCCCAGACAGAGGTGGATGCTCGTCGGCGCAGCCGATGTCGAGCCCCCCCGATGTCATGCGCGCAATGAAAAACACACGAGAATTTACAGGTATGACCCCTCAACCAATGACAGAGAAGCCGAAGGGTGAGAACGACGACTTGAACTCTTCACCTTTAGTGCAAGGTTTCTACAGACCAGACTTCTCATTGCCGAGGACTAACAGGGACAGGGTACCAGAACTCGACGAGTTAGTAATGCAAGACGAAAGAGACGATTTAGCACAGAACCGGGACGTTGATTTCATCAATAGGGGTGTGAGAACAAGAGAGCAAGACACGCCTACCCCCAGCAGTGAACGGGGGCGTTCCAGTAAGGCCCCCAGGGCCGGACGTTCCAGTTCCAGGGGATTTGACGCCCTTGGGTCGCCGCGGGTGTCATCGAGTAGAACCGCCGGCAGCTTCTCGATGCGGGAGGGCTGCTGGAACGCCGGGCCCACGTTCCCCACTCGGGCGGAGAATCGATGCCCAGGGAAGGCGCACAAACCGGGGGCCTCATGTCGGAGGCCAGTGTGTTCACAATGTTCGAAGGTTTGTCCCAAGTGTAGTCAAGCATGGCTGGGTGAAGGATGTGTTGCGATGTAAGAGCACAGTTGCCATCGTATCGCCATCCTAGAGTGGGCTGAAATAGATAGACAGGATCGAGAACAATTGAAGACTGGGAGTGCGCAAATTAAACATATCATCCTTGAGGCGCAGGTAGATAAGAAGGCCGCCCAAGAGGCTGAACGCATGCTTGCAGTCTCTAAGGCAGCAAAGAGGCAGGCATTGACGCAAAAGGTGGAATATGAGAAAAATGTCATTGCGGAAAATGCGCAGAAACGGATGCAGCATGCTGAGGCCAGCGTGGCAGGAGTTACAGGCGAAGCCCAGCGGCGCCTTGCCCAGGAATCGAATGAAAGGTTGAGAATCCAGCGTATAGCCGAGCAGCTGGTGTTAGAATCCCAGCAGAAAGCTGAAAGGGAAAAAGCGGAATATAAAGAAATGGCTGATGCAGCCAGGAGGGGGGGGGGAGGAGGAAAAAACCTGAGAACAGGCAACGCGAGAAATCAGGAGCTCCGCAATCAACTCGAAGCCGCTAGGCTCGAGGCTGAAAGAGTAAAATCGGAAGCCCTGCGAGCCCTTCGAGAACAAGAGCAAAGGGCCCAGGTAATCAGAGAATAGGACCAACAGAAGATGGCTGTTGCCTGGGATCGTCTGAAAGGGTACGCAGATGAGCAGATGAGAAACAATGTTCTTGCCACTCGGACCGTGAGTGAGGAAAACAGGAGTTTGAGGTCTGACGGGCAAAGAATCGCGGGATAAGATTATTTTAGCCGGGCAACCCGAGACAATCTTTGACAAGACTAGGGCACGTGACTTCGGCTTCGCCGGTAGAAGGGGGCCCGGGGGAAAAGGTGGGGCCAACGCCGGCGCAACCAGCGCGTGTTGAGCCGCCCCGTCATTCCGATTGCTGCTCGCCCCATGAGAAAGCCTGGCGCTGCGCAAGTTCATGCACGAACATGCGCTCCGAGTCGGATCTGTCACCTCTGTGCCAAACCTTCAGTCGAGGTATGCAAGGGTCCTGGATGTGGGGGCCAAACGGCGTGATGCATGCGCTTGGAAGAAAGACTTTGGACAACGGGATGATCGCGAGAAAAAGGAAGAACTTCGAGGCGCACCTGGACGAGGAGGAGGAGGAGGGAGGAGGAGGAGGCGGAGGCGGAGGAGGGAGGAGGGAGGGGGAGGAGGAGGAAGAGGAGGAGGCGGAACAGGAGAAGGAGGAGGAGCGGGAGGCTACGAGAATTGAGAACCAGCACGAATACCACGATAATACTACCATGACGGCTACGACGGGTATAATACAAATCGTATTGGCGATCGGTCGAATATTACCACTACTACTACTACTACTACTACTACTACTACTACTACTACTACTACTACTACTACTACTACTACTACTACTACTACTAATACTACTACTACTGCTACCATCACTACTGCTACTTCTACTACTGCTGCTACTACTACTACGACGACGACGACTACTACTATGACTCCTACTACTACTACTACTACTATTACTACTACTACTACTACTACCACTATTACTACTACTACTACTACTACTACTACTACTACTACTACCAATACTACTACTACTGCTACCATCACTACTGCTACTTCTACTACTGCTGCTACTACTACTACGACGACGACGACTACTACTATGACTCCTACTACTACTACTACTACTATTACTACTACTATTACTACTACTACTACTAACTACCACTTACTACGACTAACTACTCTACTACTACTAGGACGACTACTACTACTACTACTACTACTATTGCTATACTACTACTACTACTACTACTAGTGCTGACTACGACTACTACTACCACTACTACTACTAGTACTAACTACTACTACCTACTAACTACTACGACTACTACACTGGTACCACTACTACTACACTTACTACTAACTCCTACTACCACTACTACCACTACTACCACTACTACCACTACTACTCACTACTACTACTACTACTTACTACTACTTACTACTACTACTACTACTACTACTACTACTACTACTACTACTACTACTACTACTACTACTACTACTACTACTACTACTACTACTACTACTACTACTACTACTACTACTACTACTACTACTACTACCTACTACTACGACGACTACTACTACTACTGCTACTGCTACTACTACTACTACCACTACTGCTACCACTACTACTACTACTACTACTGCTGCTACTACTGCTACTACTACTACTACTACTACTACTATTACTAGTATGCACTATACGAGCAAGACTAAGTACACTGATGAAAACAATGCGGCTAATACGAATCATGATGTTAACAAGCAGAAGGTGGCGAATACGGAGGCGAAGCCGACTAATACTACTACTGCTGTGTGAAAATAATAGTACGACGAATGCCAGTGCCAGTTTTAATAACATCACCAGTGCTGCTGACACTACAATGAGTCATAGTGCTAATACCCACCCTAAAATGACAACGAGCATTGCTAATAGACGACTGCTGCTACTACGAATACAAAAAGTAAGAGTAGTATGACGAAGAAGATGACGAACACGACTACGCATACTACGAATAATAACAGCACGAATGAGAAGAGCACGACTAGTTCTAATACCCATATCCATAGTGTTCATATTAGTAGTACCACCAACCGTCTGTATCGTAGTATTGATAATAAGACTGAGCACACGAACGTGTATACTATGTTTTGAGGAAGACGGCATAGTAACCATAATAATGCGAACCATTCTGCGAAGACGAATGCCAACAGCACGAAGTATAAAGTGAATTATATCATTAACCGTATTTATAGTACAAATAGTATCAATGATAAAAGTATGAAGAACACTCAGCATAATACTAGTATCAACAACTGTGATAAGCATACGGGTAAGAATATGCTTACGCAACATACTAATATATTATCACTCATATTAAACTGCAGTTGTCATAATCATAAGACGACTAAGGCGACTAATCATACTGGTAAGACTAATGGTCATACGAACAGTAATGATGTGACGAATAATGATAAACCAAGTAGTACTGACAGTAATGAGGAACGTGATATTAATAGCACGTATAATGCTCATACGAACAAAGTAATACTACCAGTAATACGAAACTAATATCATGACTACCAGGAATACTTATATGAATCATAGCAATGATAGGAATGCTAATGCTACTAATAATACCCTGAAGGAAACTACGAATCCTACGAATTCGGATAATAAGAATGATAATCATACTACTAACCGTATGGATAATACTAATAATAAACGAAGACGACGGGGAGGAGGAGGAGGAGGAGGAGGAGGAGGAGGAGGAGGAGGAGGAGGAGAGGAGGAGGAGGAGGAGGAGGAGGAGGAGGAGGAGGAGGAGGAGGAAGGAGGAGGAGGAGGAGGAGAGGGGGAGGAGAGGAGGAGGAGGAGGAGGAGGAGGAGAGGAGGAGGAGGGGAGGAGGAAGGGAGGGAGGATGAGGAGGAGGAGAGGAGGAGGAGGAGGAGGAGGAGGAGGAGTGAGGGCCAGGTGCCGAGCCGGGGTCCCTCTGGCCCGGGCCCCCTCTCCCCCGTACCGCTCTGCGCCTCCCGAGGCCCCCCGCCCGTGCCATTCTCCGCGCCCCCCACCAGGCTGCCCCGCTCACTGGCCGTTCCGCCACCTCTTTCCCCTCCTCAGCCTGCTGCTCACTCATTCACCTCCACTTCACCTCCCCTTCGCCACCCGTTCCCCTTTACCCTACGCCTCCCCCCCCGCTCCCCGCCGCTCCCCTCCCCTCCCTTCCCTTCCCCTCCCCTCCCTCCCCGCCCGCGGTCCTCCGCTACGACCCGATGCTTGTCGCCCTTCTGTTCCTCCCCCCCCTCGGCCCCTCGCTCAGGCCCCTCTCTGTCCCCAGCCTCCGCCTCCTCGCCCGTGGCCCCTCCCTCCCTCGTGGCCTCAACCCCTCGCCTGCCTGGCGTCCGCATCCTCGAGGTGGAGCCCTCCCGCCCCCTCCCGCCAAGACAAGACCCGCCGCCCTATCCCACCACGAGTCGTCGAGAGTCTTCGCAGGCTGCGTAAGCTCGCGAGAACGGAGCCTCGCGGCTCGGCCAAGCCCTCGCCGGGGATCTCGGCGCATCGCCAGTCCCCCGTCGGCCGTCCGCTCGCTCGTCGCTGCCTCCCTCGTCCTCCCTCGCCCGAGCTCTGTGCTCGTGGCCGCCGTTGCCGCGCAGGCAGGCATATACGTACCGTCTGAGCTTTCCTCCTCCCCCTCCTCCTCCTCCTCCTCCTCCTCCTCCTCCTCCCTATTCGTCCCTCCTCCCTCCTCCCTTCTCCCTCCCCCCTCCTCCTCCATTCCTCCCCTCCTCCTTCCCCCTCCTTCTCCACCTCGTCCTCCTTCTCCTCCTCCCTCTTCCTCCCTCCGCCGCTGCTCCCCCTCTGGTCCCACGTCTTCAGGCACATCTCGCCACCGCGCAGCCCGCCGCAGCCTCGACCGCGGCGTCGCCCGCGGTGAGCCCGCTGTCGCCGCGGATCCCCCCAAAAGGTGCCCGCGCTCGCTTCGTCCTGCTTTCGGCCGTGGGCCGATCCTCTGGGGGGCCTGGCGGCGGCCTCCCACCGCCCGACACCGGCAGGGGCATCGCCGATGTGTGGGACATGGCCAGGGGCGTCGTGGTCAAGCGCCTCAATGTGGGCGAGGGCTACAACTCGATCTGCCAGAGCGGCAGGCGACTCTCCGACTAGACCCCGCCTCCTCTGCTCCGCTTACCCCCCCTCGCTCCTCCCTGCTCCCTCCATCCCTCTCTCCCCTCCTCCCCTCCTGCTTTTTCCTTAGGCAAGCTGCAGGGCGCCTCTCCGCCTAAAGCGTCAGTCCCCCCCTTCTCCACGTCCTCCTCCTCTCTCCGATTTCGCTGCGGCCTCCGCGTTTCTGTGTGCCCCGATCATCGAGGGTCTGTGTGTGTGCGCGCAAGGCAGCGATCTCTTCGTTCCAGGGTCTTGGGATACTATGACTGAGCACCAAGGTCAAGACTTGGGTCTCTTTCCCGCCTTTACCCTTTAGTCTTCATCCTCTTCTTCCCCGCTTTAGTGTTAGTCTATGTGTTTTTTGTCTCCATTTCTATTCCCTCCCCTCTCCTAGCCTTCCACTTTCTTTTCCTCCTTCTCAGTCCTCTCCTTCGCCTTCCCTCTTCGTCTCTATTCTATTGGAGGGGCCTGACGGCCGGTGCTGCCGACCCTGATCGAAAGGGCTAGGAGTGGGGGGAGGAAGCGGAGGATGAGGAGGGGAGGGGGAGGAGGAGAAGGAGGAGGAGCAGGAGGAGGAGGATGAGGAGGAGGAGGATGAGGAGGAGGAGGAAAAGAAGGATGAGGATGAGGATGAGGATGAGGATGAGGATGATGATGAGGATGAGGAGAGGATGAGAAGGTGGAGGAGGTGGAGGAGGAGGAGCGAGGAGGAGGAGGAGGAGGAGGGAGGAGGAGGAGAAGAGGAGGAGGAGGAGGAGGAGAGGAGGAAGAGGAGGAGGAGGAGGAAGTGCTTCGTTTGTGTGCCCGCTCGAAGAAAGTGCGCTGGGAGTGTGATATTCTGACTTGGGACGTGCTCCCGGAAGAGGAAGAAGTGCATCTCGGGCGTGCCCGCTCGAGGAAAATGCGCCTTATGGGGGGTGGTATTTTGACTCGGGGCCCGCTCCCGGGACGCCTCTGCGGGAGGAGGAGGAGGAGGAGGAGGAGGAGGAAAAGGAGAAGGAGGAGAGGAGCAGGAGGAGGAGGAGGAGGAGGAGGAGGAGGAAAAGGAGGAGGAGGAGGAGGACCAGGAGGAGGAGGAAGTGCATCCCGTGCGTGCCCGCTCGAGGAAAGTGCGCCCCGGCGGGCGTCGCATCTGCCCCGGGCCCCCCCCACCCTCCCCCTCCCACCTGCGGGGAAGGGATCAAAGGGAAGGGGCTTCCCTTCGACTCCACTACGACGTCGTTTAATTTCGCTTTGGATAGCGCGCTTGAGGAGGAGAGCCCTGGGAGGGGGAGAACGGAGACGACGGAGACGACGAGTCGAACGGAGAAGCCCCTCACACACGCCGACAGGGTCGGCGGATTCTCCCTTCTCTCCTCTGTTGGCAGAGACACAGCGCGGCAACGTGTGCCCTCCTCCAGGGTGAGGTAACATACCTGGCATGCGACGAGGTGGCCGCTGGAGGCAAAAGGATGGCCCCCCCGTCCCTTCCCTTAATTTCTGCCCCGTGTTTCGGAATCGTCCCCCTCCTCTCCCATCCTCCTGTGCAGACAGGAAGATGATAATGATGATGATGGTGGTGATGATGCTGATGTTGATGATGGTGGTGGTGCTGATGATGATGCTGACGACGATGGTGTTGACGATGCGGATGCCGATGCCGATACGGATGATGATGCTGATGGTGATGCTGATCATGACGATAATGCTGATGATGGTGTTGATGATGATGATCATGCAGATGCTGCTCGTGATGATGATGACGATCACGAGGATGATGATGCTGACGATGCTGATTCTGATGGTATTGCTGTTGATGATGATGATGATCATGATGATGCTAGTGATGATTATGATGATGCTGATGATGCTGCTGATGATGGTGGTGGTGATGCTGATGCTACTCATGATGGCGATGATGACGATGCTGATGATGCTGATGCTGCTGCTGATGAGGACTATGATGATGCTTCTGATCATGCTGATGATGAAACTGCTGATGATGATGCTGATCCTGATGATGATGGCTGTTGATGATGACGATAATACTGTTGATGATGCCGATGGTGACTGCTGATGTTGATGATGAGGATGATGCTGATGCTGACGCTGCTGGTAATGATGATGATGATGATGATGATGATGATGATGATGATGATGATGATGATGATGATGATGATGCTGATGATGATGATGATGATGCTGATGATGATGATGATGACGATACTGATGAAGAGGATGATGATTCTGCTGATGATGCTGATTCTGCTGATTCTGGTGATGGTGATGATGATTGTGAGGACGAACAGGATGGTGATGATGATGATGATGATGCTGATGATGCTGATGATGATGCTGATAATGCTGATGCTGCTGATGATGCTGATGATGAAGATGAGGATGATGCTGCTGCTGCTGATAATGATGATGCTGATGATGCTGATGATGATGATGATGATGACGACGACGATGATGATGATGATGATGATGATGATGATGATGATGATGATGATGATGATGATGATGATGATGATGATGATGAAGATGAAGATGAGGATGCTGCTGCTGCTGATGATGATGATGATGATGATGATGATGCTGCTGTGCTGCTGCTGCTGCTGCTGCTGATGATGATGATGATGATGATGATGATGATGATGATGATGATGATGATGATGATCATAATGTTGACGATGCTGATGAAGAATCTGACGAGGATGATGCCGATGAGGATGACATCTACGACCATGGTGGTGATGGTTGTGGTGGGGATGGTGGTGGTGGTGGTGGTGGTGGTGATAATGGTGGTGGTGGTGGTGGTGATAAAGATGAGGATGAGGAGGAGGAGGAGGAGGAGGAGGAGGAGGAGGAGGAGGAGGGCCTGGTGCGCGCTGCCGACGAAAGAGGAACGCCAATGATGAGTTTGAGCAGGGTGAGAGGGGAGGATTTGGGGATGGCAGCACCGTCAGGGAGAAGACGCCAGGCACATCTTCTTGTCTCGCGAGAGCGACGCCGGCCCCGTGGTCTCCAGTCTGGAGATGCCGCCGGCGCTGTCGGCGCTGCTGGGCATGTCGAAGCCGAAGGTGGGGGACCGCCTCGCCCCAGGCTGCACGACTCTGCCCTGTTCTCCTCACCTCAGGAGGAGGAGAATTGTCAAGGTTGTCGTGTAATTAGGGCACGGGTAAAATATTACCATGTCCGTGTCCTAACCACTGTGTCTTTCAAGGGGGCCTCGGTCCCTTGCCTCCCCTGTTGTACGACATGATGGGGCGTGGTGCGTGCGTCTCCGCCCCATCAAACCGCGTATGCCAGAACATCCATGAGTGCAGCGCAGGACATCCAAGATTGCATTGACGCCGTTCTCGCCTCGTTCCTTCAGTCGCCAGAGTCCGAGGACGTGCCCGTGTGCAGGGCCCAGGCCATCGCCCATCGCGAACATGTTCGAATATTCATTCATCTGAACGACGGCGTCGGGTACTCTGATGCGGACGCCACAGACAAAATGCGCAAGCTTGATAAGATGCTGGGGAACTGTGCTAGGAGGCACACGAGGCAGGACGACGGCTGATTGCCGCGGCGGGAGCTATAGAGTGGACTGGTTGTCACATCGCCGGGAACGGAACTGAACGGATGCCTAATATAAATGGGGGTCTCAAGTGGGACACATAACCAGAACGATTACCCCTCTAAATTATCGAAGACGCCTACGGCGAATCACCGCCGCCCCCTGCCTTTCTGGAAACGCCTATGGGGCCGAAAGTTGGGCTAGAGCTTGGCCAAGCTATCGGACCATGTGTTCCCCAAGTCGGTCTGGAAAGCCTTCGGGGAACACGTGGGGAGAGAAAGAGGAAGTGGAGGAGAGGGAGGAACAAGGAAGAGGAGTAGGAGGAGGCCTCTTGGAAGCCTCTTGGGGCACTGTTGGGGCCTCCTGGGAGCTTCCGGGGGGCCTCTTGGAGGCCTCTTGGGGCCTCCTTGGGCCTCTTGGGCGCCTTTGGGGGCCCCATCCTCGGGGCCTCTCGTTCTGGGCTGTGATGCATGATGGGGATAGCCGGGGGGCTGGCCTGAGGCTTGCAGGGGCCTTGCAAGGCTCCTAATGCTGGGTAAACGAAACATTTGCCCTAAGAGGTGCCCCGCGACTGTGACGCTCCATTTGCCCCGAATGCGCCGTGGCCGCCTCTCCGATTCAAAGTTGTCGTTTCAGCCCCAACGGGCCCTGACGCCCTAGACGCGGGCACGCAGCACGAGATGTGCTCCGCACCCACGAAGTACATGGTTTTCTGCACGAATCAGCAGATTTCCCCCAATACAATCTCTAGGCCTTGCTTTTTTCGTTTGCACAGTGTTTCGCCACACTTTTCAGGTGCTGGAGCTTCATCACCGCAATCAGGTTGTCAAGAGACAGTGGGACAAAATGCGCGGTGATTTGCCTCCAGAGCAGTTTGCGAGAGAGACGTGGCCCAGTTCTGTTTTTCAAGATGTAGGTCGATGAAACATCTGCTCTAAGAGGTGCCCCGCGACTGTGAAGCATCATTCACCCTGAATGCACCGTGTTCGCCCCTCTGATGAAATGCGGAGGGCCCAACACTTTGCCCGTGAGCCGCGAGGTTCGCATCCCGACTGCGACTGTAAGGAGGTCCGTCCCATGGGCGGCCTGCGTATAACAATGCCCAGGAGAAGTACTCGGGCTGGCCCTGCTACAGTGTGCATAACCTTGCCAACCCTGCCCGCTGTGCCCCCTACCCCCCCGCGCGGCCACGAACTGGTCATGTCGACACTCCAGTAAGCAAATTCATAATCTATGTAATGTGTTTCGCGAAACACAACTACAACGCAGGAGTCATTTTGCTTTCCGGGGTGACCACCCGTGTGGGGCCTGCGGCTCGCCAAGCCTGAAGGGTGGTCAGCAGTAGCACTTAAAGAGGAGAATGAGGAGGAGGAGGAGGAGAAGGAGGAGGACGAGAAACGGAGGAGGAGGAGAGGAAGGAAAGGGAAGAGGGGGAGGAGGAACACATGGATGTTGATGGTGATGGGTAGACGGGGGGGACGATGTGGATGTGGGAGATGGAGATGAGTGGGAGGAGGAGGAGGAGGAGGAGGAGGAGGAGGAGGAGGAGGAGACGGAGGAGGAGGAGGAGGAGGAGGAGGTGGAGGTGGAGGAGGAGGAGGAGGAGCAGGAAGGAGGAGGAGGAGGAGGGGAGGAGGAGGAGGAGGAAGAAGAGGTGGTGGTTGGTGTGTGGTGTGGTGTGTGGTGGTGGTGAGGAGGAGGAGGAGGAGGAGGAGGAGGAGAGGGAGAAGAGGCAGGAGGAGGCGGAGGAGGAGGAGGAGGAGAGGAGGGAAATGAAGGAGGAGAATGAGGGAGGAGGATGAGGAGGAGGAGGAGGAGGAGGAGGAGGAGGAGGAGGAGGAGGAGGAGGAGGATGAGGAGGAAATCGGGGGGGAGGGGCTCGATCACCGTCGGTGTAACGCAAATCAACGCGGGGGGGAAGGCCCGATCAGCGGCGGGGGTGGCGGGAGGAGGCGCCTCCCCCGCGCGGCCAGCCAGGTCACCCCGGCGGCCAACCAGGACGCGGCGGTGGCCGCGCCTGCCAGAGGCCCGCCGTTGCCTCGGCCTGGAGGGCCTGGACCTTCGGCCTGAACCCTCCCGCGGCCCCTGGCTCCAAGAAGAAGAAGCGGCATAAACATCATGGTTTCTTGGATGAGTTTCGCGCGGGCTTCTTGGATCGGCGCTCGGGCCCCCCTGGCGGCGCCTCCGGCGCCGCCCCTGGCGCTTTCCGCGCGCCAGACAGGGGGGTCCAGCGCAGGTCAGCGGCAGGACCAGATACCGATGCCGCTGCTCGGCCTAGAGAGCCTTCGTCGCCACGGCTTGATTATCCTCGAGACTTGCGCTAGGTTTGGGGGTGGGGGTGGGCATGGGCCAGGCAGGATCGATGATCGCACTTTCTGGAGGTTTTTGGTCGTCCTGGGGCGCCCTCGTCGCGATTGCTGGATTTTCCTCGAAATTCTGGTCATACCGCACCCTGGGAGTGGTCTGGGGAGCAGCGGTGTTGGTGTCTCTGTGTTCCCACACCTGCGGTCCTTGGTGCTCCTCGGTGGTCCTGTTTGGACCTCTCCTCCCTCCTCTCCCTCCTCTCTCTCTCCTCCTCCTCCTCCTCCTCCTCCTCCTCCGTAGCCATTTTGGCTCAAGATGTCTTGGTGCGCAGCGGCGTCCAAATGGATACCGCTGTGCCGCGGCCAGGAGTGGGGATTTTTTTGCAGCCACACCCAGGGCGAGCTGCCGCCAAAGCCTGGTCCGCGAGGACCCACAGTTTTGCGCCCGCGAGGGCTCTCCCCAGCAGTGCATGGCGGCCGATGAGGAGCGGCGCAGGGCGGGTCGTGCTGGCGGCGGCCATCGTGGCCCTGGTGCTGCTGACGGTCGGAGGCGCTGCGACAAGGGCAAGGAGCAGCCTCCAGCCGAGGACCTGCGTTCGGCCTCCCGCAGCACGAACGAGCGTGCCCCTGCGCGGCGTCGGGCTCGGCGGGGCCACCCGCGCTCCGACGGCGAGGCGGATGCCTCGGGCTCGCCGGCCAGTGATCGTGTGCGCCCTGGACTTGGAGGACTCGATCGCGCCGCCCAGGATGAGATCGCGGCTGCTATCGAGGCGGCGGCCACCTTCCCCTCGCAGGAGCGCCAGGCCATGCAAGTGGATCAAGCGCCCGCTGGTACCCAGCAAGCTGGACCTCAACATGATCCTCCTGACCCGTGGCAACGCCCTGGCGGGGACCCTTGGCATGATCGCGCTGCCCCCGCTGCTGGTCACACTGAACCACCTGCTGCTGGCACTCCTATCGGTGGGATGGCCACTCCTGTGGACGCTGGCGGCATCGACATGCAGGCCATGCTGCAGAGCTGCATTCGCCAGGCCACCGATGCCATCGCCGCGACCTCCATGGCCCAGGTCGCCTCCTGCCAGACGCAGCTGGTGCGCATGTTCCAGACCCAGCAGGAGGCTGTCAACAGGTCCCTCGCCGTGCAGACGCGCGACATCGCATCCATCGGTCAGCGCGCCGATGCGTTGGAGGCGGAGCAGGCCGCCATGCGCAAGCAGATCGGGGACATCAACAAGGCCCTGGCCCTCGCCGAGAAGGAGCTGCCCATCATGGACTTTCAGGAGCTGGAGGCGTGGTCTCGTCAACCCAACCCGCGGATCTTCTCGATTGGGGCGCCGCAGTTGGTTGGGCCCGCCCAAGCTCTTCAAGGATTGGAGGAGTGGATTCGCGCGGCTGGCCTCACCAACGACATGGTCCGCATCGACCCTGCGGTCCCCTCCAAGCGCTTCAACGTCTTGGTACAGGGCGGCGACGGTGTCGCTCTCCCTCGGGCCCAAGCACTTGCACGGCATCTACGTGACCCAGCTGGCAGGAACGGGTGGCGCTCCTTCAGCGCGCAGAGCGTCGGCGGAGGCGTCGTCCCGCTGTACCTCTCGCCTGACAAGTCACCGCAGCAAGTGCGGATGGAGATCCAGTCGAGGAAGCTCTCGGCTTTGCTGGCAGAAGCTCTTCCTGATCAGTCTTTCAGTGCTCAGCGGGCCCGTGACATCGCCACCTCTCAGGGCGTCAAGGTTGCCAAGCTCGAGATGGGAGAATCCCGCTACACCGACGCTATCATCAGGTGGAACCCAGACATGGTCGCCAGGCTGCACATCGACAGGGAGTCCATCAACACGCAGTTCAAGAAGGCCTTCTCCACGGAGGACAACACCGAGTGGATTTAGCAGCCCACTGTGGGCGCCATGGCGTCCTCCTGGCGCACGGCGTGGCTTCCGTGGACTTCACCTGGTCGCGTGGAATGCCCGTGGCCTGCTCCGCTCGGACGCGAGGCTGCGCAGACGCAAGTTGGCACTGCTCGCCACATAGATGAAGGTCAGCGCCATCATCGCCGTGCAGGAGGTCCACGGCTCCGAGGACGCCCTCAGGATTTTTCTCCAGTCGCAGCCGCAGAAGTACTTGAGCTTCCTTTCGCCTGGCTCTTCCGCTGCCGTGGGCGGAGTCGCCTTCCTCGTCCCTCGATGCGTCGACGAAAGTCCAAGGGCGGATGGGCCCAGAG